ATCAATAACCTCGATGACATAAAATTAATCTTCAAATGAATGTAAACCTCATCGCAATTAATTTTTTCCATCACACAACTGACAAACCATTACATAAAATGTTAGGCCTTCCAATGAAAGTAAGAGCCACCCAATTAATTTGGGTAAATGCAAAGCTAACAAACCAATTAATGTAAAACTTGGGATTTCCTCTGATGTAAGAGCAACCCAACATGAATCAAGCCAGCTCACATGCTAACAAAGCCAACAATGAAAATCAAACTCGCAAATAAAAGCTCATATGTGTCTTAAAATGCTTCATCAGTTTAAAATTGTGCAATATGAGGCTCGCCTTGAGGCCTGCCTTTGTGCAATTCCAGTAAAAAACACCTCGATGCTTATGCCTTGAGTTTTTTTATGAGGATTGCGCCTCAACTTGGTTGAGGCCCGCCTTGCCTCACGCTATATATATTAAAACATACATAAATATTGAAGTAAATGCCTGACATTGGACTCTATAGGAGAGGTGGAAGGGGATAGAGCAGTTCACCATAATGATGATTCAAATAAAGAACCCCTTAGTGATGACAGTGCTGATGACTTATGAGTTCTTATGTAATATGTCATTGATATTTATTTTTAAAAATCGAAATTATATGTTAATGAAAAGAATATTGGGATTTCGGAAAGATAGAATTTTGAGTTGAACTATATTTCATGGTCTTATTATTGAGATATTTTGATTTCACTTCATATCTTATGTTTTTTAATGTTTTATATTATTCACTCATTAGTATATAACAAATTTATCATTTTATGTTTACGCAATCTTTTGATTTTGAGGCTTACGACTCAAAACGCCTTGAGGCTTACGCCTTGCCTCACGAATGAAAAACGCCTCAATACCCGAATACGCAATTTTAAACATTGAGTCAAACTATAACTTGTGGACAACAGATAATCACTTCAAGCCCACTAGCTCTTGTTCTTCGAACCACATGTGATTATGTTTTTTTGCTTCTAAACAATTTAGTGAAATTGGTATGGCTAGATTCATGAGTTTCATTAATCTCAAAAGCACATCTTTGGTGTGTACTTCCAACGTAATCAACTTGGAATACCTAAGATGAGGCAATTCATGGTTGTTAATTAGATTCCTTAGACATTATAGCTTAAAACCCTCTAACATTAGCACTTGGTAAAAATGAGCCTAGGTATTTCTTTAATAGGGAGTGCTCTAATGTAAGAGAAAAAGATAATTATCTATGCGGGCTTGGGCCCACAAAAATTTTGACCTCATTTTGATCTAGCACCAAGGGAAATATAATTAAAATATGCCTAATCTACCTCAAAGAAAACAATTCTAATTTTTTCTCATGTACATAAGGGAAGATTGAGGAATGATATCGGTTTTTCTTGAACAATCATTTTTTTAAACCTCTATTAAAGATAATTTCTATCTATCTCTAGTTAGGTCGCTTCGGGCACTATATAAATATTGGGTGATATGTCCTTCATTTATACATAAATCATGAATGGCATCAAGTACAATCTACCCATAATCCAGTGACTATCAAACCAATAATCTAGCGACCATCAAACCCATGGTAGTGATAGTTACTGTATTATTCCACTCACCAAAAAAAAAACAATACATATCCAATATGATCTAAAATTATGCAAACATTCTCCATTCCAAATAGAATTTGACTTCTTATACAAAGCCAAGAAAGAATGCATCATCAAAGAAAGCAAAAGGCATGCCCAAGGATTGAACTCTCAAGACTTTATAAGTTCACACCCGACATCAAATTCTAGAAGCTACCAACCCTACCTAATTGAAATGCTATGGTGGATTGAGAGAAAAAAACATAAGAGCTATTTTGAGAGGTTGCTAACTTCATACGCCACATAAAAGGTTGTCCTCCCTAATTTTTTAGGCATTCCATAATCAATAAGAGGAAAGAACTAATAAAGGGGTTTGGCAAGCTAATCGCACATCTGCCATCAAATTGTCTTCAAAGAAACAAAGATGTGGCCTCAAGGCAAAAAAATAATAAGTGGCTTCTCATAAAGCTACTTCCTCAAGGTAAGACTCACATTAGATTATTCGTATCTAATAAAAGATACCACAGTGAGCATCACAGCATGACATTTGGGCGTTAAATTGTCCACATAGCCATTATTGGAAGCTTCCAATAGCAAGATTGGAGGTTAAAACCTCCAATCACAAATTCTTCCGCAAACAATAAAGAGAGAGGACTCGCAAAAAGGTTAGCAAGCCAATCACAAATTCCCCAACAAATTATACTTAAACTTCAAGATAAAATTATGAGTGGCTTCATAGAAAGTTGGTTCAAATAAGACTTGTACTCTAAAAGAATTGAATCACACAAATGACATAGAATGATGAAGACCAAAGCATGACATCTAGGAAACAAAACTCCAAGGAATCACATATAAAGGGTAGCATTTCACAAATTCAAAACATTTATCTACAATGCCCTCTATACAACCAATGACAAAGGATTTCCAAAAAACACACGTGCCATGATTGCATTGCACAATTCAAGTTCTTTTAAAAATGGCATGGAATATTAAAAATCATGAATAATTTATAAAAATATCAACAAATATTCAAGAAAAACATCATAATGCAAAAAAGACACTAACAAGTCAAATAAATAGACTATAATATTATTTTTAAATATTAAGTGCATGTACTAAGCGGCCTGTAAATTTACTAGTATCATAAAAATTTTACAATGGTATTATAGGAGTTATGGCATTGCACAGTTCAGGCGAAGGCCAATGAGTTCTGAGAATAAATTGAGGAAGCAACAAGAGTATGAAAAAAATTTAATAACCTAAAATGGACATGACTGTGTTGATTCTTAACCTAAATAATTTAGTTGAAACCATGTCAATCCTATAGCAAATATTTTTTACCCATAACTTAACCTTAAGAAGTCATCCTTCACCAAGACTCTTAATTCATGCATTCAATAGTTCAACATTAATAGAAAATAGTAAGCAAACAAAAAACAAAGTAAATCATGAATAGAGTTTAGAATGGAAATGAAAGTGGATAGATAAATATCAAGCCCTTCAATAATCATATAATTAAAACCACGGCATAGAATGTGTTGATCCATGAAAAAGATGTCATTATTTATCTATCATATTGATCACAAATCTCCCAACAAAACATTTTAAAAGATAAAATGGATAACCTCACAGTGAAGTTTGAAATGACTTCTCAAAGAAAAGAGGCTTTAAAAAGAATCACATTCTAATAGAGTCAAGTCCCATGAAAAGAAATCACAATGAGCATTGGGGCATGACAACCAATTTTTATAGTCCTTTTTATAAATGGGGAAATTTTAATCAAGCCTCTCAAATAAAATATTGAAAGCTACCTAAAAGATCTCCGTTGAAACAAGAAAATACTTAAGATTCAATGTCTAATAAAACCAATGGATAATATATCCAATCACTTTGATGATTTGACAAACTTGAAGAGCACATAAAAGAACTCTATACCCTTATTCATGATCGGGTATAATATAAACCAAGTAATCTCAAGCAAACAAGCCTAATGATATTTCCTTATACAATGTGCCTAAGGTAGAGGCATTATACAAATAAAACTTTAGCTGTTGAATCAAAAATACATATACATTGGCTCAATAAATTCGTATCAAGCGAAGTGTCACTCCACTTAAACAACCTCTAAGGTCAAAAAAGTCAAACAATAAGTTCGGATCAAGCGAATGTCACTCCACTTAAACAACCTCTAACGCCGAAAAAGTCAAACAATTTCAACAGAACAAACCTAGTTATAGATTTGATCGCATGAATCTAACATAAGCTTTCAATAAATTGAATATAGGTATATATGTTGGTTTAAAGAGTCTAAGGATTAAGCAAGACCCTTCCCAGCTTGCAAACCCAAGTGTAGAGTTAATTGCAAAGATCCCCAACTAGTCTTGCTCTAGTGACTCAATCCTTCTTTGGCACAATCCCACCACCAACTTTTCTCTCATCGAGCCCCAAAAAAGCTCACACTCATCACTCGCATCTCCCCCTCTACACCCGTCAACCGTGTCTCTCCCTTAACGCATAATAACCCCACATACCCACTCCAGCTTCCGCGTCGAACTCTATGAGCTTTCTGAAAATGAGAATGTTAAGTTCTAACATGACACTTAGAAAGGATAAATAAAAGAATTATTATATTAGAGAAGCAATTGGAGTATATCTATTGAAGATGATGAAGTTCAAAATAGACTAAGATGGTTTAGAGATGCTCACAAACAATAGAACTTAGACTCATTAAATGGGTAAATGAACATAGTGTCGATGGATTAGTACAAAATTGGAAGATATATAATAATATGGATAGAAGTTGCTCAAATTATTTGCAAGGAATAGGCTAACAGCTCATGCAACACTCAATATTAATGCATAAAACATGAGGGTTCAAAGAGCCAATCCCAAATAGTTAAGATAAAGCTATTGATAAAATGAAATATCTTTGGAAACTCTCCAAAATTGAAAATCATAAGGCTTCCTCCAAAAGGAGCAAAAGCATACGAGCAAAAGTCAGAGGGATGGTCTTCAATTCTCTTAAAATGGGCTAAATAGAAAGATAAGAATACATGCATCAGCTCAACTATAACAGCAAACATAGAAAGACAGAAACAGCGAAGTATGGTCAACGTACATAGTATATAAAACTAAACAATTTCAACTCTATCATAAATAGGCGAAATTTGTAATTCAAACTATTTGGGTAAAACTAGCAATCAAAGGAGAATATTCTGGAAATAAAAATGTGCTAAGAAGAGGGAAGGGAATTACGTAAAGGCAAGAATAACACTGATTTCGAACCCAAAAATTAAACCATGTATATCATTAGATAGAAGGCAGGCCAAACCAAACAACCCGCCTCTATATCTTGGAAAGCTAAGCTTTTAAATAGAAATACTGACATGGAAAAGCAAGGAGGGGGAGCTGACCGCATATTTTAATGGGGGCTTCGAGCTCCAATAGATTGGGTTGCTGTAGGAAGATCTCCCTTGAAACAACGCAGAGCTGGCGGATCTCAGCCTCGGAGAGCTGCACTTGCTTGGCTGGTTTCGCCGTTCTCACCTCCAGCAGCCTATTGATAATATCTTCGAGCAGCGACGAGTCAATGCCTTGCCCTAACGATGCCGCCATCTCCGTCTCGCTGCTCCTTCGACCGCCGCCTATTAAAAAATTTTTGTAGGAAGCAAGCTAACACCAAACTGGCAGAATTCGATGAGGATATTGAAGAATAAGAGGTAAATCAATCGGCAAAAAAGAAAGGGTTTTTGGGAATTTACAGTAATGAAGAAATACTGTGTTAGGGTTAGATCTTGGAGAGGAGCAAGAGCACGGGGGGCGGACTCTGCAACGCCGTAGCGGCGGCGAGGACCGAGATGCACGCCGCGTGGCTTTGTTTTCTCTTCTCCTTCCTCCTCTTCTACTACACTTCTACGCGGCTGAATAAGATCTGGAGTTTGGGTCTCAATGTCTGCTAGCTCAGCGATGTAGCGGAGGGAGGCTTCATTGGACCAGTCAAGGCTTTGTATAGTAATTGTTGAATTGTCTTTTTTGTTTTTTTATATATGAGCTTAGTTTTTGTTAGTTTGGCATAAATGAAGAGTGCCGCATAAGTAAAATAGTTAAAATGCACTATAAGTTTTATTTGTATGAAGGATTAAAAGTAATAATGATTTTATTCTTGAAGGAGTTTGTGATTCTATATTATCTTAGATTTGTTGAATCTAAGTTGTGATTTTCTTGTCTAATGTGTCTTATTTTTCCACTAGGCTGCCATATGGATTACTCCAATGTCATTTGGTATCTAGGCCTGATAAGATTTCACATATGAAGATTATTCAATGACCAATGTATGAAATTTTTATTGAAGATTTATAACTAGAAATTTGTCACTTGTCAAGAAGGCTCGTTGTTATAAAAAAACAGGAAAAAGCAAAACATCAAAATAAGATAGAAGAACATGTTGATGGTGATGAAGAGAATCATTTCGATCAAGATTTCTCCAACGAAGACAAATAACCCCTACATTTTTCCATGTGAGGGGTCTAAAGAGAGCCAATACTTTGGGATCAAAATTGATATACTCGATTTCAAAGAAAGGTTAGATTCGGACAAGTTCATCAATTGCTTACACACAATTGAATGAATTTTAGAATTCAAGAAGGTTCCGCCATAACGCATAGGAAAGTTGGTGGAAATTTAGGTTTTGTTTGTGACATGTTCTTATTGTTTTTTAAAACAGCTTTCTAGCAAGGAGAATGAATAGCTATAACCTAATATCTTTCCAAAAAAGATGCACGATGCAAGGGAAAATTGTAACTTGTGATTTATGGAGAGAGTAATGAGAATGTGGCGTCAAACATAATGATGGAGAAAACTCAGCTTGCCCACACAACCCTGTTCATGAGCTTACAAATGATCTTGATTAAAAAAGGGAAATAAGATAAATGTGTCCAAACAATGTTTTGTTCAATTTTCAATTAGAAGCAAGCTTCAAGAACAAGTATTATATGATGTTATCCCTATGGATGCTTCCATCAATTGTTGGAGTGACCTTCGAAATGTGACTAGAAAATCGTATATCTTCTTACCAACACGTACTCCATCAAGGATGGAGTCTCTATTTTGTTGGTGTCATTGAAAGAAGATGTCTCCACTATAACAAAAAAAATCAATTAGTGTTGCCTCACTCATTATTCTTACGGGCTCTTAAGGAGGCATGCACAAGTTTTGAATTCATGGTGATATAAACGAATCCAGATAAAACATTGGTTGCGGGAGTCATTAAGCCATTGTTATAGTAATTTTTGGATATCCTCAATGAAGCTATTCCATTAGAGATACCTCCAATGAGTGAAGTGAAGATATCATCATCATTATTCCTAGTCCAACTATTCCTTTTCTTTCCTTCTTATCACATTTCTTCAAAAGAGCATCAAGTGTTCTAAAATTAAGTGGACTAAGTGATTACAAATGGATCCGTGAGGCCAAGTGCTAGCCCTTGTGCTATTATGGTTCTCCTTACACTAAAAAAATGAATCATGACAAATGTGTATGCACAATCGGGTTGTGAACAAAATAGCCATTGAGTTTTGATTTTTCATTCCATTACTAAAAAAATTGTTTGATCAATTGCATGGAACTATTCTTTTATCTAAGATTGATTTAAAGAATGTGTGTCATCAAATATGAATGTGTCATAGGGAGTGAGAAATGTCATTCAAAACTCGTGGCGAGCTATACAAATAGGTTGTTATGTCATTCGAACTATCTAATGTGCCAAGCACTTTTATAAGACTACTGAACCAAAATTTTCACCCTTTCTTGAAAAAAATTATTGTATCTAATTTTGAAGACATTATGTTGTACATTCAAACTTTGAAAAAGCATCTTCAATATCTTCAATAGATCATTGAAGGTCTTTGTGAGCACCAATTGTTTGCCAACCCCATAAAGCCTGAATGTAAGGCGACTAAAGCTAATTTTTGGGCTTTGTGATTTCTTTTATAGGAATGAAGATGGATTCTGCAAAAAATCAAGGCTATTATGAAATGGTCTATCCCACAATCCTTTTTTCAAATTAATGATGTTAGCCTCTTTGCATTGTTGACTCATCAAACACCTTAGTTCTATTGCCACATGACCCGTCGAACTCAATTTTCTCAATTCACTTGGCAATTTTTAGTTGTCTAAAGCATGTGGTGACATCAACTCTTATTTTGGTGTCACCTAACTTTTATTTTTGGACATTTAAACCATTTAAGGAAAACTCACACACACAACGCATACACAAAGACTCGAATCCAAGACCTTCTCTTAGTTAGAAGCATAAACTCTCAACCAACAGACCAAAGTGAGCTCTGTGTGTGTCACCTTAACTTCAATCAGGTTCTTAAGATATTGGCATTGGTGCGGTCTTGAGCCAGAATGGACACCTTGTGGCAACTGAAAAGCTTAATGCGTCCCGGATAAAATCCTCCATTTACCGAAAAGTGTTTTATGCTCTCGTGTGGGTTCTCCACCATTGAAGCCATTATTTATTGGCTAACTAATTCGTTCTATTTTGAAATCACGAAGCACTCCAGCACATTCATAGCCAAGGCGGACAACTTTTTCTGCAACATGATTGGATTATTTATTGTCAATTCATTATATATCGAAACATAAATTGGGCCATTCAAAGCAAGTGGTGTGGTCACTACATTACAAGCTGAGGTAATTGGATTTAAAAGTGCTGAAAGAATATATGGCCAAGATACTGATTTTCTAATATACAAAACACAGGTGATATTAAAAAAAAGAAGGGAGATTTACATACATACCACTATATTATTGCTATTTTACATATCTAACACCTCAAATATTAATATTACAACTATACCACCCAAAACCTAAGTTTACCTCAAATCTACCACTTCCTCCCGCACATAGCTCACGACGTTAAGGCACCACCCTTTCCGGCAACGATGTCCGACCCCTCGCCTTCCTCTGTGGTCGGCGACGGAAGCTCCCCGAATGGGCGGGGAGTCCATTTGGCCACTCTTCCATCTTTACCACGCCATGTTTGCATCGCGTACAGCTCGGGCGAGTCTTTGAAGAGTTCCGTGCTGATCGTGGACTCCAGCACACTGCTTATGGTGCAGGCTGTCTTTCATGGAAGCTTGGGAATTGGGTATGTGAAGTCCATGGCTTTCGTTCCTTTGATGGATGAAGTAGAGAAGGGGAAGCAATTTGTTTTCCTGATTGATGGTACAGGAAAGCTCAGTTCTTGACGTTGCCAAAAAAGTCTATGGTCACGACGGTGGTGAGCACGTTGTGGGTATGCCAAGGAGCTTTTGTTTTGCTTTTGTTGTAGTAATGGGTCTGCCATGGTGTTTTTAATTTGGCGAGGATGTTGGTTTCAAAGAGGACGGTGGAGGCGAGGCTGGAGCCGATGGCGGTGCCTTAACGTCGTGAGCTATGTGCTAGATGAAGTGATAGATTTGAGGTAAACTCAGGTTTTGGGTGGTATAGCTGTAATATTAATATTTGAGGTGTTAGATATGTAAAATAGCAATAATATAGTGATATGTATGTAAATCTCCCTAAAAAGAAAGTGGATTAAGAATTAGGCAATATGTGCTTGTACAGTTATGGAAAATCAAACTGCAAGTTGACAAGCTTGTACAGGTGAATATTGGCATCTTAATCATCCCAGAAGGGGCAAGAACAAACCTAGTTATTCAGGTGGTCGTATCACAAGCTACGATATAGGTTTATTTCCAATAAATCTCACCAAATAAACAAATCAATTACAGTTTGTATTGTTTGTTGTTGCCTTCATAAATCTCACCACAAAAATCTAAGTCATACAACCTGTCTATAATCCAAATATTAGTTATTAGACTAATCTAATGGCAGACATGAGTTGATTCCTTATCTGGATATTATTTATCACTTCAAGCCTAACTCTCTCGATACCATACCTGTAAGATTAGATGAATAAAGTGTAAAATTAGTTTACAAGGAAAAATAAAAACTTGGATCATGGTAGTTATAAAACAATCTTAAAGAAAGCACTTACCATATAGATGCACTCCTCCACCAACCCTTCGCCACCATATATTTTGAGAGGAAACAAAAAAAGAGTTGCTGCACCTTGAAATAGTAATTAGCATAATTTAATTGGGGAAGTAAAAAATTCTACGATCGTATATGAAAGCTATAAGGTTACACGCTCTGCTGATACACTTGAGAATTGAAATCTGATGTATATATATAGACCTATACAAAAGGAATCATCACAAGCAGCAACAGCAAAACTTGCTGCCATAAATTTCACTGCAAAACTTAATCCCAAAAAGGATCTCAATCATCATTTCTTTAACATTCTGAACAAAAGAAAACACCAGCACTAGTCACTAGTCCCCAGCAGACAGTAATGACTTCACCGTCTCATAGGTCATAAAAACAATACCAACGCTTGGAACAACTTTGAAGTACTCTGCCAAAATTCCTCTGTAAAGGCCACGAAATCCTTCAGAATGGATTATGTGTCCAAAAGCCCCAAACAAGCCTGATTTGTATACACGAGCTTTCCCTGCAGCACCTTCCAATTGCATCCGTCGCCTCACAAGGTCCAATGGGAAAGTCACTGAACGATAACAGGAGATAAAGAGTAAAGAAAAATTTACTGTACACAAGGATCAAGTTTACACAAAACTGCGACAGTGATGGATCATCCAGAGTTACTCCCTTAAAAGTTAACAGCTTGTTTTTATCATGAAGTGCACCAATGTTATTGCGACTACTGTATAAATGTTAACTACTCAATGGGTTTTCAAAAACATTTAGAGTAAACCTTACGAATCCTTATTATCTAACTGGCTTCAAGACAATTTATGCAATGTCTTCTTAATAAGTAGCAAGGCATTTCACAAGTAAAAGGTGCCTGGATCTTCTGTATATCTTCACTTGTTCTTATTTTATTCTACTAGCAATAAATACAAAAACAAGAGATATGGGTTTAAAATTAAAATAAAATATAATCAGAAAATAATAAATATATGAAGAGCAAGTATAAGCTATATGGTCTTACGCATTTAACTTAACACGACTTTCAAATAAAAAAAAGAAACCATAAAATAAGTGACGTTTTAAAGATTCAGCGTGGTCCGGTTCATATCCAAGCACATGATTTTAAGACTAAATTCTGATGGTGTTTTTTTGTTTTTTTATTGACCAGCACATTTAGCAAGTCTAGTGGAGAGGAATACGTATCATATCAGCCTTGTAGTGCTTACCAATGGGGAAGGAGTTGAAAAGTAAACTAAGGGGAATGAATGCTTCAAGTGGCTTGTAGGTTTTGCGCATGTGCTTTGGAAGATGAAGCAAGCTCACGTCCATGCAATTAAAGGAGATGGCTATTAGGCTTGTGTTGAATTCAGAAAATAACAGAGGTAAAAGCTTAATTTTATAGCACAAATTTGTCCATATTTATAGATATATATAAGATATCTTAATAAAAAAATAAATAATTACATAATCTGATAGGAAACACTTGGATTTACAAGTGTTTCTCACCAAAACCCAAAAGATCCAAGAGATAAAATTGCTGTCCTCTCAGTAAATACGGCAAAAACAGTAGAAAATGGGAACGATGGAAGAAATCGTAGGGAAAAACACTAGCAAACGATTGTATTCCCCTGTATGATGCAAGAAACAAGCAAGATAACTTTCCTTCGATTCTAGAGGAAGGAAATAACTCTCCAATCTCTAGCCGTAGTCTAGAGCCCAAAACAAGAAAACCACAAGAACTTCAAGAAACTTCAAAATGCAAGATAACCCTAATCCCCCCCTTCTCACTCTATTTAACCATAAAGGAGTTTTACAAAAGACCTCACTACCCCAAATATTTCAAAATATCTCTAAAAAAGACTCCTAAAACGCCCTATCACGTCGCGCTCCTCCGCCTGTTTGCGCGTGGTTCCGTCGGGTGAAGACCTGGACCGGTCCAGGGTGGACCGGTCCAGCCGGCTCCAATGCCGGCTTAACATAATCATACATAATTGCTCTAATATAATCCTTCCTAAATCAACCACCTAAATATGGAAGGAGATCAGCATGATCCAAATGAGCCTCCCATAGATTCCCATCCTAGCCGTGGGATCAAAATGACAAGGGACGGCTAGGATTTAATAGGCGAGCCTCCATGTAATTGGGAGAAATGTGACACAATGAGATATCCAAAATGATCTCTTGGAGAGTAACTTGGGATGAATTTATCCAAATTTATAAGGGTGGTCATTTTAGATCAATTTTGGAATAGTCAAGAAGTTAAAATGAAGAAATGTGATACAATGAGACTAAATTGGCCATACATAAATATTCAGGAGACTATCTGAAATTTAATCAAAGAGAGATTCTTCCTTGCTCACATTACAACAGAGAAAGGTGAATTGGTGAATTAACTTTGAATAAAAAAATAAACACTAGAAAGCTCTTCAAGCAATATTAGTAAATTGTCTCCAAAAAAAAGGCCCTAAGAAAATCGACTAGCATTGTTTTTAACCAACTACACCCAAGGATTTCATTTAATTCCATGAGTCACTTAAAAAGTAAATTCAAATCCCTGATAACAAACTTATTTTGGACTTTCATGATATTTTCAATTTTCAATTATTCAAGTACGTACTTGTTGAAGAAGCAATACCAGAGAGGCTTCCACACGCCAAGCTGATCAAAACAGAAGAATCATACGGCCTAGCATAAAAAATTATAAAACATACAATAAAAGGTGGTTATATAATGGAGAAAAAGTCATACAATAGACAAGACAATCTATACAACAAAATGCCAAGGCAATTACCTTTGCAATTGCCATCGAGCTCTCAAAGTTTCATAAACAGTAAAGCTAATGGCTATGCTAGGTCCAACACCCTGTGTTGTTCACTGGTGGGCAATTATAAACACAAACAAATGCACCTAATGGAAAGCATTGCAGGTTAGAATTTTTTTTTACCAATAATGTAGCTCCAAGACCTTTATACAATCCCCTTGAACCCTCATCTCTACATATGGAAGAAAGTGCATCACAAATGCCTCGATAATACATGATATTTGTCTGCAAAATTCAGTTAACACACACTTAAATTATCTCTAAGAAATATGATTAAAGTTTTGAGGATAAGGCTCTAACATAACAGAAATATTCATCCAAAGAGCTACCTGGTTAAAAATGGAGAGAAGTAACAGGATCAGAGTATTCTAAATGTTAACAGGAAATATATAGAAAGAATGGCAGTTCTTTTCCTAATAAATATGATTGCAACTACTACATTACAAGAACAGATGATCCAGGCTGCTCCAAATTGCTCATGTTCACATTGTAGGATCATCACTTCGATATTTTACCAATTTCATTTGGTTGTCAACCATTGCGGGCCAGCATATCTCAGCAGATTAAATGCACAAATTACACTAATTACAGGAATTAGATACAGATTTACATTTCTATTCTGCAAATGTATTAAATAAACTGCAGAAAAAGTTAGCTGCAAAAAAAATTGTAAATAATTGTTTCAACGGTCAACGTGGAAACTTAAAAGAAAAGAATAAAAAGAAGCAATGGTTGCAGACAAGTATTCCACTTTCTCCTCGTAGAATGGCAAGCTAAAAGTGATTATGATATGAAGCCCTAATACTCAGCAACATTGCTTGGTTGCAACTGCTGCAGAGAACAGAAAGAGAGGAATGGAGAGGGAGGAGAGGTGAGGGAGAGTGGGGTGTGTGTGAAAGAGAGAGAGAGAGAGAGAGAGAGAGAGAGAGCAATCTCAAGGTCAGGGCGAGTCAGGCTCAAATAGGGTGCACTTCACTCACTGAGCATCATGGAGGATGGTTCATGAAGGCATCATATTTTAAAAAATTCTTACCGCATGGACACCATAATACCATAAGCAATAATAGGAGACCGGAAACAAATATACCAAACAGACAACTGGCATACACAGTGCTATTGTAGAGAAAACTTGATGTGAAACCAACAAGAATTGCAAGGAACTAATAAAAGTATTGCGAAGCTTGCTACTTTAAGGATAAAGAGCCATAAGGCATGACTATAAGAATTTTCAATTATCAATTTTGTCGTAGTATGCAGTTACAAAACTTAGGAGATTAGAACAAGATAAGAAAATTTAGAAATTATCACAATAACACTAGATATGCCGTATAAAATCCAAAGCTTAATTTAGAAAGTTCACCAAGAGTTACCGTTCTCACTCACACTCAATATATGGTTTTAGCGGAGAGAAGCTTTCAGCAAACTAAACGACGCCACTAAGACGGTAGCAACACCAACGGCTTTGATCCAAGAGAAGGTAGTTGGAGGCGGAGGAGTGGACCGTCCGATGAGAAGCCAAGGTGCTCTGGGTTGTTGAATTTCAATCATCTCCGCAAGGCAATAAAGGATGTGGTTGACGTAGCTTTCCACAGAGTCGTCGTATTCCCAATCCGGTTCGTAGAAAGGAGAATGTCAATTTCTCCTTGTGCGTTGTAGGCAAAACCATGGTCGACCTCAGGGTCGGCCATCCATGGGTGTGGGAGGCTCCTCTCTTGGACTCCTTGAGGCGGCGGGTTTGTGAAGCAAGAAGGGAAGGAGAGGGAGGAGAGGGGAGGGCCGGTGGTGGGCTAGGGTTTGGATGTGAGAGAGGTGGCTATGAAAGGAATTGGAGAGGGATTTGATTGTAAAATCTGAAAATAAATTCAAATTTTAATTAAAGTGGGGTTAGGGAGGATTTCAAATTTGAAATTTGAAATTAAAGGAGTTTAGGAGGGAATTAGGCCTAGAGATTTAATTAATTGGATTCCAATTAATGTGATTGAAGAGAGATGGGGCGGCCGGCCCTATGGAGGGGAATTTGGGGGATTTATTTAATTGGGATTGTGGGCCCAAGCAATTAAATAAATTAAAGAAGAAATCTGAAATTGATTTCAAATTTGAGGGATTAAAAGAGTTACCAAATTAGGATAGGAAATTAGGAAAGAAATTAACTCAAATCTATTTGAATTTGAATTTAAAATCCCTCCAAATTTATCTTCCTAAATTAGGAAAGAATTCAAGACAATTGATGGAAGGTTAGGGGGTGGATGGCAAGGGTGACCGATGGTATGGGGGTCGGTAGAGAAGTGGTGGTGGAGGCAATGTGGTGGCACGGCGGCGGTGTGTCGAAGGAGATGAGAGGAACCAAAAATAAAGCCGCAAATCTCGGACCCTTCCAAAGGTTGACGGGTATTGCGATTGCCCACACCTAGGGCATTCCTTCTTCTCTCAAACTCAACATTGAGGGAGACAAAGAAAAACAGAAAATTTTTTTTCAATCAATCATCATCCCAATACATATGGGGCCATATATATAGGCCTCGACATGATAAAAGAAAATAGACTAGAATGCCCCTTGGGCTACAATAGCAAACTATTACCCATAGGGGTAAAATTGGAAAAACTGAAATATGAAAATAAATAATACATAAAGTGCATCAGAAGTAAAGGCTCTCCATCATGGCCATCGATCTCCGGTGTTTCCTCTGATAAACGCGTCGGAATCTCTTGTTGATGCCCCCATCAAAACTACTATTTCACGAAACCTTTAAAAGAATAAGAAAATTTATTCAGAGAGCAGCGGGATCTTAAAGCTTACTTGGCCCTTAGGGAACGCATCGATAATATTATTAAAAAGAATTCAATATTTAACCAATAAAGACTCAAACCTTCTTTTTAAATAGAAAATCACAACCCTTTATCTTAAATTTAATTTTAAAGTACATCTACATTTCTTTTTTATAACAAAAACAAATAAAATTATCTGACTTCCAACAAAATTCCCTATTTTAAATCCCATAAAATTTCCTATTTTATAAGTCGTAATGGTATTCACATTATTCTAATAGAAGGGGACTAGCTTATTCATAAATAATTAATAAATATCCAAATGGATTTATATTTTTTTTTTATCATTTTTGTCCCTTTCCTAAAAAATATAAATTCCTCTAAAAGGATTTTGCAGAGCTACAAAACATCATCAACATTGCAATATATGTAATTGAAAATTTTATAAACAACATTTTAAACTGTCAACTTGATAATTATCTTTGATATGCTTAAACGTTGGTAAAGAGAGAACGTGATGATTTGGAGACGAATGTGACCCTCTTGATAGTGGCAACATAAATATGACATGTGGAGGCTAATAAATTATAAATTATATAATAAAGAGTTTGTTGCTTAATATTTCAAAAAAAAAAATGATGGATGACAAATCATAGCATTATTCAAATGAATTTTAATGATTGATTTATTATGCAATTAAGATGAGCAATTCATTTATCACAAGAAATATTATATATTTTTTTTCTGGAAAAAAAATAAAAGAAATTATGTAACATTATCAATTAGATAAGATGATTCAATAAAATAAATATTTTCTAAATTTAATTAATTAAGCCAAATTGACCTTAGTTTGACCCAATTAATCCGGGGAAAAAGCTATGGGGGCATCGTGAAGGCCAACACCAAGCTCCTCAGGGGCAAACAACTTTATGAATGCAGAAGGTTAAGGACTATCTATATCCTTAGTAACAATGTCAACGTGAAGCCTCTGCCTCTGGACTGAAGGAAGATCAACAGTAAAAACTTTATCACAATAGGCCCTAAAAACCTTTCATTGAGGAGAGCATACAGTGATTATCTCAATGAGAGTGGGGTTACTGAGAGTCTAAGAATATTGGTTGCCTGGGAAAAGCCATCCCTAAAATATATAATTTGGATTTAGAAAGAGATGGGGATGGCTATGGTTTGATATTGAAGTAAAAAACAAAGAAGAATAATGAATTTGAGTTTTTTAAGCAGAGATGGAATCATGGCTTGGAAAATAGTTTTATATTTTAAAATTTTGGATTTTTTTTATGTTGGGGAGGGTGGAATATAACATTCAAATTAAAGAGGCATCTCTTGACTTGCATGATAATTCTTATTTATAAATACAGGGGACGTTCAATACTAGATTCTAACATTCAAAATAAAATTTCACATTTAAATTCAAATTTCAAAGAAGAAAGGAAGGAGGATGGTGGTTGGCAATTAAAAAGATGCTTGCATGAAAGCACCTCTTCATTTAAATTTTCATTGGAGAAATGTGATGGACCGGCCGATTTGATTGGAAAGGAATTAGAAAGTTTTCAAATCAAGAGGGAGTTGTTTAGGAAGTTCTTAATCAAAGAAGAATTGTTTAGGAAAGTTTTAATTATAATTGGGAGGGAATTATTTAGACCAAGATATCTAATTTTAATTTAAATATGAGAGAGAATTATTTAACGAAAGGGAAAAGGAATCAAGGGGGAATTGTTTATGAAAGTTTTAATTACAATTGGAAGGGAATTATTTAGGGCACGAGATCTGATTTAAATTCAAATATGAGAGAGAATTATTTAAAGAAAGGGGGTTGATTTGAGAGGGAATTAGGTGAGCCTATTTAAGATGGATCTTTGGGAGGGGAGTATTGTTAGACTGGTCCATTGGACCGGTCCAACGAGACCGACTTACGCTAACAAAGGCGAAAATGCCCCCTCCTATATGCGCTGAACGCACGCCCGGGCGTGCGTGAGCTGTTTAGGAAGGATTTTTGAGGGAGTTAGGAGGAAAATTTGAATGTAGGGGTTGTTTAGGGATTTCCTTTTGATTTGTATGCATTAAATAATTTGTTTTCCTAGGGTTATGGTATCTTGAATTTGGATAAATTTTGAGATCTCTTAGGTTTTCTTTGGGCTCTAGTGGTGCCTAGAGATTGGGAGAGATCGATCCTCCTCTCAAATAGAGGATCAATTGCACCTTGGTATTTTCCGTTATCTACTGTTTTCGTGATTTTTTGTGAATTTTTGTGGAGAAATCTCGTTATTTTCCAAAGATTGATAGGAAATACTTGAGATCTACAAGTGTTTCCTATCATAACTGTTTCACGGGCGGAGAAGGCGTCATAGAAAAAGCTTTTATTCATGTTTAACCATCATCATGGTTAAAATAGTAGATAAGTAATGAGTAGATCTAGAGAATCAACAGATATAGAAAGGCCAAAGGAGATGTCTCTGATGCTAGGTTCAAAAAAAAAAAAAGAGAAAGACTACTTTATTTCATACGCCAATCAAATAGCCATAGAAACTTTATATAGAGAATATATAGGCCAAATGGTGGACCAAAGATGGAGATGGAAGAGAGTGGCAGGCCAAGAGAAGAAAAAAAAAAGGAAAAAAATAAGACTAAATTTTGAGAAAAATAAATACCTAATGTTATTCTAGAAGCTATGGAAATAAGTAATCAGTCTTCTTATTCAGCGCATGACCATTTTTCCCTGGTATTGGACAGCTGGAATGACTGCAGGACATATGAAAATTCCAGGTGATTTGATTGCCATAGAACCTGGAATTGATTGTAGATGCCAATGGTGTAATATATCAAAACAAGGTTCCAGATTGAAGCATGTTTAATGCCTCCTTGACTGCAATCCACCTTTTTAAACCATTCCAGATTTAATTCATGAATTAGGGCAGCCATAATACCTTCCAAATTGGTGTTAGGCTGTTGTTCGCAACTTTGGGCATGCCCAGAATTTCATCCCAGATTTAATTCCTGCATCGGTACAGCCATAATATTTTCCAAATTGGTGTGAGGCTGTTATCAGCGGCTTTGTATATCTCCAGAAATTCCACACATTCCAAAATAGAAACTACTTAAATCCATTGTTTTTAATCTAGCATAAAATTTAAAAGCACCAGAATTAGAAAAATTGCCAACTTAGGTTTTTCAATGTACCTGAGCAGCAAGACGAGTTCTCACAAGATCTAATGGGTATGTTATTGATGCAGCAGTAATTCCAGACAAACCGCCACTCACTAATTTAACCAAAACATCTGAGCTAATGTATTCTTTATGATCCCTGGATGCAATAATTGATTGCATCATCTGAAATCAACAAAATAACCAATTAAGTTAAGAAAACAGACCTCCAACTTGCAACACATATTAAAAGGGTAAACTAAACTGCCTCTTCCACAGAATCTAATACACACATTTTTGTAGTGTTCATATGCATAGAAGCTTATTGATGAATAAGGCAGGCGATGAGCAATTGTAACCAGATTTCCTTTCCAGAATGCTCGAAACCCTTCCTCATAGAGGATACGTGAAATCTCACGCCATATGCTAGCCTTTCGTAGGGTTGCAACATCAGAATGCATGCCTTTCACCTGTAAGACTAAATATCACTCAGCCAGCAACTTTGAAATGTGTAAATACAAATAGATATTAGTAACAAAATATCGAAGACAATGTAAACAACATTGATACCACATTAACTTAACGAGAATGAAATACAATTAAAAGAAAAGTAAATGAATCAAGAAAATTTTACCCGATAAAATTTCACCAGAATAAAAAATACCGACACAAACTTACATCTGATAAAGAACAAGCAGCGTGCAAGAACAATAATGCTCCCAACTACGATATGAAATTGTATGGTACCCATTACATAATTGATGGGGACATCAGAGCTTGGATGGTTTATCACCGTAGAGGCCGGAGATCTACGGCCTTGATTGAGTCTTTATATTTTTAGTTTTCATATGTTGTAGGAGATTTATGTGGTATTATTTATTTTATTACAATTTTACCCTCTCTTGAGGAAGCTTTTGGTTGTTTGGCCAAGGGCTTTCTTGTCTTTTATTCCTTTCATATTTTGGTGCCAATATATATGGCCCATTATTCTCTTGTATGGATGATGAATATTTGATATAAGTATGGATGATGAATATTTGATATAAAATTTATGGTTATATGTTTCCTCTTCTCTTTGTGAGTTGAGTTTGTGTGTTAAGTCCTTTGTAGAAAGGCAAAGAAATACCCAACAGCTTATGAGCTCTTGGTTGATATCATCTCCCTCTCTCTCTCTCTTCTTCTCCTTCCCTAGCCGTCCAATAATCCCCACCGCTGCAGCAACCTGCCTCCCTCAACCCGCCACCTCCTCTCTTCCTTCCATTCTACCCGCCTCCACCTTCTCTCCAACACCCTAGACCCTTGGGCTTCCCAATCTTGTAATTAATTCACATTAATTGAGCATTTGTCTCAATTAATTGTGACATTTGTGAACCCACAACAGCTTTAACTTTTCTCTCTTCCCAAAGCAACCACTTTAACTTTTCTTTTTCCCAAACCAACTAGTTCCCTTCCCAAGCAAGCTACATTTAATTCTCTCTCTTCCCAAAACAACCATTTTAACTTTTTCTTTTCCCCAAGCCAAATACTTCCCTTCCCAAGCAAGCTATATTAAATTCTTTCTCTTCCCAAAGCAATCACTTTAATTTTTCCTTTTCCCAAGCCAAATACTTCCTTCCCAAGCAAACCACATCAGCCTTCTCTCTTTCTCAAGCAACCAACTCTACCTTTTCACCTCCCAAGCTGATTTCTCCACTTCCAAATCCTCCTATAGCTGAAACTTTCTTTTCCTACTCACTATTCTACCTTTCCAAGGAAACCTAACATCTACTTTTGCAACAAGGACATCGATTTATCAAAGAGTAAGGGTTTCAAGGGGAATCCAAGGAGGAAATAGCCATCATTTCATCAAGGACTCAATTCCTACCATTCATGAGCTAAGTATCAAACACTTCCCTTGTACTTCATCTAACTAAATATTGATCTTCTCATTTCATCTATAGTTACATCACCATCTCATATGTGTTGATTAATCCGCCAAGCCCTACTTAAATTTGAGTGATCGGAAACTCTTGTGACTAGTCCTTTAATTAAATGTTAGACTTGTGACAACTCATGTTAGCTAATCTAAATTGATTCACCTTTTTTTTGTGTGTGTTTAGCCTTTACTTGTTAGTTTCTTGCCATCACATGATCTAATAGTTCAAATTTTCTTATTGTTCTTAATATTTTATGAAGTTTCTTTTGTTGTCTTTGATGCTATCTTAGCCTAAATCTCTAATTGCATGACTTATTTCGCTTAGTCCAGCATCAATAATATTACTAACTTCTAGCACATAAAATTCTCAAATAAGACGATATTTTCATATTTAATCTTGTATACACGATTGACTATTCCCAAGAGATAATCACACAAAAATCCAAGAGCAATCATTTAGCTATATTTTAATTCCAAGAAGCCATAAAAATCTATCAGGAAATACTTTGATAAGCATGCCAAGTTCAACTAACCATGTCACTTAAGAAGTTTGGCGTATGATAAGCATTAAGCTCTACATTATTTGTTAAACAATATGACAACAATATATAATTTCTGGCTGGTATGAAGGTCTCACCAGGCATCATGATAAAATGTGTATTCAATCTAAAGAATCTTCTTATAGCTTCAGATAGGCATAAAAACTTATTTAACAAGCGTTTCATAGATTATATAAACTCAATAAGGCCAAAATACTCAAGGAACCAATGACTGCAAATGGTTGAAATATTGGAGGTCTCCTATGCTTTGAATATTTCTTAAGGATCAAAATATACAATTCTATAACCCATAAAGCAGAAATGTGTATTAATTAGAATCTCCATAGCATTTGAGAGAGAGGACTTCTTTAGAAGCTTTCTCTTCATGCAGAGTTGGTTCATCATCAGCCAAATAATGTCAGCTATTTTGAGTTGTCATGAAAAATTATTCTTCATAGCAATGTAATTTTGGGAAACTGCTGATGTAACACTAAAAAAGATAAAGAAAAATAATCAGTTGGTCATTTAGCGCCATGCTTTCTTTCAGCTAGAGTTTTCATTTAGACAATATACCACAGGAACATTCATTCCCAGTGGTTCAGATTAAAAAATACAAATTGACTAAACAAAGGAAACAATATGGTGCATGACCTTATTAATGTCTAGAAAAGGTGGTGCTCCATCATTGATCTTAAAACAGTGAATGGAAATATTACAACAACCAGCATCTGAAATCCAATACAAAGCAGCAAGTCGTCAGAGCTCTAAACATATCAATAGAACAATGATATATGTCATGGATAGAAACCATGCAGCATATTCAATCAGAGCCAATTCATGCTGTGAGGTCAGGTTATGGGTTGGAACAGATAAATGCAAATATCCAAGGCTATCAAACATCAATAACAAAAAAAGGTAATAATCAAACGTCTTGATTTAAAAAGTAAAAAATTAATATATTAATCTAATGTTTATCAATCAACCAACATGCATGCCAGAAAAAAAGCACCCAACTTCACCACTTTTTTATTGTGTTTTGAAAGTGGCATACGCCCGGTAAATGAATTTCTGGATCAGGTTCATAAATTTCCACTGAGCTTAGCCTAGCTTCAGCGCACATGTATATCTCCTCTACTACACATATGCAAGAGTAATCTACTATAAAGAGGAAAATATTACTTCTCCTAAGAATAGTTGGACTAAACCTTTTCCACTATCTGTTCGAATACATGTTTTGGTCTTTGAAATACACACATACAAATGACAATATAAAAAAACCGCACATATATTGCAAAGACAAACATCAACAACAACAACAACAACAACTATAATAATAATAATAATAATAATAATAATAATAAAGTTCAATGTTTGAGGTGTAGAATATAATGCTTAAAGATCAGTGTATCTTTTGAACCATGAACCAATCATAGAAATAGACTTAACTTACACAAATTTAGTGAATTTTCCAATTTCCATGATCCTCAATTCTTTATTATAAGTCAGTCTAACAATCCATATTATACCAAAAATATGATAGTTTCTTCATGCAATTTGACACCTACACCTTAGGCCATATGTCAGAACAAATAATTCATGATTGTTCTAGATAACTTTCCTAAATTATCAAAAAAGGCGACCAAACCTTTACACTAATATTGGTGAATAATGGGTGTGCATTGAATTAATTAACTAATGATTTGTTATTACCAATATGAACTTATTTCATGGAATCTTCATTAATATAGGATGGGTTTCCACCATTATCACTTTTGTTAATGGCCATAAGTCCCTTGATATGGTATTCACTTGATATGGTATAGTTTAGTTAGAGAATTTTCCAAATTGATCTTTGTTCTCACAAAACCTAAGAAAAATATCACATCATTTAATAATCATTGCATAATATTGTACCTTAGTCAAAAATGCTACTCTTCCCACTATGTATTATTCTTTGATCTAGATATTTCAGTATCAAAATCACAATGCAAATCTGTAGAAGAGATTGAACTTAACTATAATAAAATATCATCGAAAAGATTTATAAGGCATTTCGCCTCTCCTTCTACTTTCTTTGAAATAATAAAATAATATTCCATTGTGGATCAAGTTGTACAAGTTTATTTTGAAGACTTTTGTAAGATAGCTCTGCCAAGACGTAAAACATATCCTTTTTTTTTTTTTACTTTCACTCATTTGAACAGCTATCTGATTTGCATTGTTATACCCTTCAAATAAAATATGATATCAATTGTAGAATAATCCATAATCAATTATCCCATTAAATATTTAAGCACTCCACTCAAAGCAATCCAATCATTATTAGGATTTTGATTGTACCTATCAGGCATGTTCATTGCATATATAATATTAGGATGATAACCATTCAAAAGATACAATGGGCTACTGCCAATTAATTGAGCTTAATCAGATCAAGATGCACTAAATGCCTATCATATTGAATTATCGAATAATACAAATATATTTACAACAGTCAATGTCGCATATTTATTGGCGTCCTACAAGCAATAAAATGTTCAAGATGTCAAGGACAAGATTCCTTCATCCTTGGGAGCATATCATATTCTAAAATTTGAATTAATCAACTGGGTTATTTGTATAATTATTTTTTTATTTTTGTGTGGACTATTTTTCAATTTTGTTTTAGTAAGAGTATTTATGTAATAATAACAATTGTTATCATAAGGGAATTGAGGTTTATTTAAAATCACTTTTTTCTTTGATAATTTTGGTTTTGGTTTTACGTTTTGAAAAGGAGTTATCTAGTTATGGAAATAGGTAAGAAGAGAAGAAGATTGTAATTGGAGTCTATGAATCTACTGCAAATGATCATCAAATCTCTAGTGCCATCTTCTGAGGCAAATCAAGGTAAACTACATCAATTCCAACAACAGAGAAGACCTACACAGTAATACCTAGGCATATTCTTGCGAGCATATGATTTTGAAGGAAATAGAAACGAGATGATTGTTGTGCTTTAGGAATTTGGGTTTTGGAAAACTCATGGTTTTGCAGCACCCAAAACAAGTTATTTGTTTTCTTGATTCATTTTATTTAGTTTTCTCTTCGATCAACATTAATCTACATATTCATTTCACTTGAATTCAATACAGATTACTGGAAATTCTAGCAAAGCTCGATTATCCAACAGTGGCATTTTGAGCAAGAAGACAACAACTAGCAATCAGACATTGAAAATCAACAAGCAAGGAGTTAGAGGCACTAAGAGAGGGGTGATCAAGAAGTTTTTCCTTGACCATGCTTTTAAAGCTTTTACTTGGCTGGAATAGGAGTGAGAAAGCATGCTAGAAAGTTCAAGAAGGATCACCACGTGATACTCGGAGCTAGGTGGGATCCATCAATCATTTCTAGGTGCAAAATTTTCATTCCGACTAAGAATCAGTTGGGAAGCAAGGTTCTTATAGAAGTTATTACTTTTCACAATTCCTTTAATCTCTATTTTACCTTTAGGGTGGAGTCAAATAGTTTACTTAGACTGTTGGAAACATCTATTCTTGAATAATTTTACTTGTAATTGTCTCAAACATATATCAATGTCATTCACCAATTTCAGTGTTACAGATTTACTCTTTGTTATTCCATTTGATTTGTGTAAATACCATGATCTGACTACATGAACCATTTATCATTGGATTCACAAAATGTATGGAAAGGCTCAGAACATATTATTCTCCTATACAAATTTAAGCCTCCTAATATTATAATCCAATTATTCTTAACCTCATGTTTATATTCATGAATTTCAATCTTGTTTCATAATTATTTATGAATAAATATGATTTTGCAAGAATTGATTTGTCATCACTTATATTGTACCACCTAGATTGCCAAAAATGATAACATGGTTTACTACAAACAAAGCAATTACCCTTACATTTATTATTTAAATTCTTGGCAATAATATTTATTAAGTTGTTTCCTCATATCTGCTTGTGGAGAAAATTATTGAAATTTCCTTTTGAGTTATTGTTATTTCCATAAACCAAATATTCAGTCTATTTAAAAAGCAAGAAAAAAGCTGTCCAGAACGAAGCATAAATCTTACTTTCATCCAAACAGCCCCTTAATAATCACCTCCCCTTTTCTACTGTGTTTTGGAAGGACCGGCATGAATCACTTCATGGAAGATAATGGTTAAGGGTAAAATATAGAAGCATTACACCTACCAAAAAATACAACACCAAGCCAAGCTGTGAGAATTCCAACCATAATAGCATAATCGTAATGTCACTCACGGGCTAGCCACCACACAGCGCATTCAACCAGAAGCAACTCATAGGCGAGATCAGATTATGGTTCGCGGGAAGTTGCACGAAAAATTGTATAAGATTCACAACTACCAAATGCAAGATAACAGAAGTACTATGGATCTCAAAAGTTAAAAAAATAAAAATAAAAAAAAGAAGCGTTCTATCTATCTAATGCCTTATTGATCAGCCAAGTAGCATAAACAAACCCTAAAAATCCCACACAGCTTTCTATTGTAATTTCGAAGGAACCGCCCAGATCATTACCTGGAAAAGAATGGTAAGGCGAGCTAGTGGGGCGGTGCATGTCTTGCTTACAGCGCCAGCTATTCCTCCTGCAAGCAGATGCTGAATGGCATCGAACTGCGGCTGCCGCTGGAGACCATAACTCTGTTGCTTCTGCTGGGAGCATAGCACCGTCGTGTACTTGCGGTTGGCGCCACTGCCGCCGCCATGAACGCCTTCCATCATCCGCCCCACACGTGCATCCGTCTGCATCTCACCCTCTCCCCGAGCTAAACAGCAAAACCTAGAAAACCCTGAGGGGTTGGCGACTGGTCGATGGAGGTTTTGAACAGGAACAGTTTGGCTGGGATTCCAAAATCGTGAACTGTGGGCGTGAGTTGAAGGGTTCTAAATTTACGCAGCTCATTTGGCCTGCTAGTTGAGTGCTTAGTCTATCAACTAAGAGATTTTGAATTTAAGTTTTTATGTATATGATGTGTGTGTGAATTTATCTTAATTAATCTGAATGTCCAAAAAAAAAGTTCTAAATTTTGTTATTACAAGTTTTAAAATCATGGATGTTTTTATTGGATATTTGTGGGAGTAACGAACCGAGCCAAGTCGAGTATGTGTTTGTTCATGTTTGAGTTCATTTATTATCAACTTATTCAAGTTCTGAATTTGATTCAATATTTTTACTTTTTGTTCAAATTTGGTTCGTTTAAATTAATGAGTGTTCATATTTGGTTCATGTTCGATTCATTTCGTGCTTATCGAGTTTTAAACAAACAAGTCTTATCGAGTTATAAACAAGCTCTACTTCTAGATGTACATTAACTTAACAAACAAGCCTTATCGAGCATTCTAATGAATAATTATATCAAGCATGTTCATAAACATATCTAGTGAAGTTTTTTAAACTATCAAACAAGCTCATTCACGAACTTATCTAATGAGTAATTTTGAGCTATCAAATGAGCCCGTCATGAACATATCTAATTAATATTTTCAAGCTATCAAATAAGTTAGTTTATGAACAAATGATCTATGATTCATCTTATATTTGTTCAGAGAGCTGTTTATTCGTGATTTTAAGCGGATGCAGGAAGTAAAAATAAATTATTAAATAATTTTAGATGGGATTAGTAAAAATAAATTATATATATATATATATATACTCTAATATAGTTCTAATCGAGCTTTTTAATAATCATGTTCGCGAGCACTAAATGATACTGTTCATGAACATAAACAAACTAAACACCAAGTTGTTCATGCTCGTTTATTTAGCTATCTAGTATTTATCAAAATTGTTCAAACTCTTTCCTTTACCTTATCAAACGAACATGAATGAGCTTTTATCAAGCTGAGCCACAAGTAGCTCATAGAATGCTCGATTCATTTGTTGCCCTATGTGAGAGGATATACCTTGTGTATATTTTCTGTTGATGATAGTTTTATTATTGATAAGATTAGATAGGGAGTAAAGAAAAAATTAAATTATGGAGACAACTTTAGAGTCTAAAAGTTTTCATTTGAGTAGATCTAAAATCTAATATATGGAGTATAATTTTAGTAATAATAAATCAAGTGGAGGATTGTGATTTTGAGCTTATTGTTCAAAGTGATGTGAAATAGATGAGAATATTATTAATAGAATTCAAAATGGATGGCTGAAGTGGATGAATACGTCAAGTATGTAGTGTGATAGAAAAGTATCCCTCAAATTTAAGGGAAAATTTTATAAGCTGGTGGTGAGACCTATAATGCTTTATGGCGACTGGAGTAGAATGTTGGAGAAGCATAAAAATTCTCAAGTGGTTCAGTGACTTTACTCATAAGATAAAATGTGAAACAAGTATATACGTGAAAAGATTAGAGTCGCTCCAATGGCAGATAAGATTAAAGGGAGTTGCCTTAGATGAATTTAGACACATAAATACGTCGGCCTTCCGATGACTGATGGGGTGTAGGTTAGGATTCAGTATAGGTTGTTGAGGATTATTCCAATTTCCTCCTTGATTATATTGTCCGGAATTCCACTAATTATTACCACAAACATTATTACAAGACCAATTAAAATTAGGATGGTTCCTCCAACCTGGATTATATATATTTGAATTAGGATTGTTTTGCCTTCCCATCAAATTCACATTTTCAATCCCTAGAGCACTATTATCACTAATATAATTCAAATATTGCTCTTACAATTGCATTGATTATCCTAATCCTAATCTTAAATTAATTCAAACAATATCCTTTGAAAAAAAACTCAAACAGTATCCAATTTCTTTGAAATTGCAGCAATTTGAGCAATAAGAATTAACAAAACATCTAATTCATAAACTCCAACTACTGTTTTAGGATTCACTATATTAACAGGAAACTGAAAATTATTTAGTCACTTTCTCTATTAATTCATACTCTTCCTCAAATGAATTATACCAATCCATTATAAAAAATTTGAATAACCAATCAACTGTGTAAAGCATGGTGAGAACAGTTCCTAAGCATTTCCTTAAATCTCTTTCAACTTTCATAAATTGCATCAAATGAGACAAAGGTGTGATATCATTCCTAAGTTTGACAATTTTTTAAGGTGAGAAATATTTAGCTAGGAACTTATGAGCCAACTCATTCCAACTGATTATGAAATCTATGAGCAAAGAATTCAACCATATCTTAGAATTGTCCCTTAGAAAAAATGAGAACAATCAAAGTCTAATAGCATCATCATTGGCATTATTATACTTAAATGTTACATAAATTTCCAAATAGCTGGCTAAGTGTAGGTTAGGATCCACAATAAAAGTTCCCCCAAATTAAAAATTTTGAACCATCTAAGTTATGGTAAGTTTCAGTTCAAAGTTATTGGCCTGGATAATAAGTATATTGATACTCTGATGGATTCCTTCTATTACATGGTTAGCACTCTCTAAGAGATCTAGAATGATCTTGATCCTGCACTAGGTCAAATATTTCTAAAATCTTTTTATTTTTTCAAATTTTTGTAAGGGGCATCTATATCTCTGGGTCAAATAATAAGAGTTTCTTATTAGATCTACCCAGCACGCAATAAAGATGAAACAACTAAAATAAAAATCATAAGCTGATTAATCAACAAAAAACTTTTTTGGATTTTTCAAAATTTTTATTAAGCAGAATAAAGATACATGATACAAGTAGGTCTAAATATACACTTATTTAGATAACAAAGTTAAAATTGTTATACACACATTACTTTTTTGGTAATGACACCAAAAACTTAATGGGTGTGGGCTAGGATGTGACTTGCCGTATTGAAGTAGGCTTAGATTTTCTTATATATAAAATTAATGAAAGCCTACTAAAATACGTAAGTATAAATGCTGAATCAAATAATAAAGTGATATAGTAGTATATCGATCCCACGAGAAAGTATTCTACTTAATTATAATTAAACCATAATTATTTATTCTAAATACACAATTTATTGTACTAAAAATAAAAATGATATTTTTTAAGTTTTTATCATAAAAAGAAAAAAACTTATAAGGAGATTTTGATACTTATGAAAATAAAGTATTTTGAACTAATAATATAAATAAAATAGTTTTTCTAATGAGATTCTTAATGTTTCGATGTGAATTAGAGCATAAACATCTCTAGATCTCTATCGAGCTTATATTGATGAAAAGAAAGGTTTATGACTTTCCTATAGTTTGTATATCTCCATAGAACCTAGAATATTTAAACATCCTAGATTAATTAGGTATGCTAACATTCTATTTCAATACTCTTCATTATTACAACATCCCTCCATCAAGGCTATACTTCACACTAGATATTAATTACGCATATGGCCATTGTATGTATTAAATAAATATAGGAGATATGGAAAACTTCAATGTATCATTCAAGACACAAAAATTTATACTAGTATTTACTATACTTATTTCCATCATCCGCCCAAAACTAGAGAATTAGCCGGACATGAAAGATTCAACAAGCAAACTCATTTTTATTTTATTCATTATAAGAAGGGATACAAGAGAAGTAATAAGAAGATTGTCACCCAAAAATATCAAATGATCTTCTCCACACTCTTTTTTTTAACCACATAGTTGCTTACACAAAATGGCTAAGATCTCTACAATGAAAGTATCTTGTACTTTCCTAAAATTCCTTAAATTTTACTCTAAAGGGGCACTAAAAAACAAACATAAAATTACAAAAAATTCCTTAAGTGGCAAAACTCCCTAAACAATAAATTGAAAAACTATTTATAGTAAGCACATGGATGGGTTTGAGTGCCATAGCGCTCGTTAAGGTGGCATCATGGCGATATAAAATGAACTACTGTCTCGGTGTTGTTGACCTGACACGATTAATAATTGAAATGATGCATCTTTTGTCTAAGTCAGCGAGGCTCCTCGCTTTGGCAACTGCTCCGCCATGGCACTCATAATTTAAGCTATTGATGCTTGGATATGAATTTCGGTACTAAGGCATTGCAAGGCTCAATGCTCTGACATTAATTTATTTTCCCAATGCTCCAGTGTTGTTAAGAAATATAGAGGTATATTTAAAAAGAGTTGATTGCAAAAAAAAAGAAAAAAATAGAAATAATCTTTTTATTAAATAAAATGAGAATTTGATTCTTAGCAAGACACAATGGAAAAAGAAGATTCATGTAGTCGATCCTACAAAGTGGGATAAAGGCTTGACGTTGTTGTTGTTACAAGTGTTGTAATTTGAGAGCCCGACATTATGTTTTGATGATTACAAATATTATTAGATGTTTATTTTCTTATTCATACATTATATATTGCATACTTTTCTTGTATACCACTAATTTTTGTATGTACAACATACACCGAGCAAAAGCAAAGAATAAAGACTCAAGATAATATAGCATCAGTGTATAAGTTGGTCTGTGTTTTGACACAGTATGCACTTTCTTGTTTTAGTCATTTTTTGTATTAGGTGCATGTTGGCTTAGAAGCCATACACACACACAAGGGAGAATAAAATTGAATATAATATTTGAATTTTATATTAAGCATACTATACAATTAAGATCATATTGTATGATATGTTTAAACATAAATTAATTCAAACATTTAATTTAATAAGATTAAATTAAATTGAATTATGACTAATCATACTATATGACCACTACATTGTACAAGATGAATAGTAATTTTGAGAAAACCTACCATTTAATCCTTGCTACTTAAATTATGCAAATTTAAATTTTAAATTTTAAATTTGTCATATTATATGAACCAGCTCGTAAACTTAAAAGTGACACTCAAATCTGAACAAAATTTCAAGAATAATTTTCATAAACTTAAAAACTTTAAACCCTTCATAAGGAAAATGTAATAGGTGAAATCTCAAATTAATTTGAAAACTCGAAAGAGAT